TTCATAAGCGTGGCGGCAGTCGGTGAATCTTTGAATGTGTCCAAGTGATGCATTATCGTAGCAGCAAGTAAAAAGGGGCTTGTGGTAACACCGAAAACTACTCTACAATGGCGAAAGGTTTTCAATCTCATTTGAGAACTATTTACATCATGCCACCATAAAAATTTTAAATAACGTCTATCATCTGGATCCACCTTTATCATAAGAAAAGCCTTTCTAATGTCCGATGTTATGCCAATCGCGCCTAATCTAAATCGAATCAATAGCTTCGGTATTAATTCGATTAAATTTATACCCTTTTCCAAACAAGAGTTAAGAGAAAATTCACTCTTATTTGCAGCTGAAGCGTCGAATACGGGTCTAATTTTAGTAGTCAAGTTGTCCTCTTTAACTACGGCATGGTGCGGCAGATAGTGTCCACACTCTGAGTCGTCGGTATCAACTTCCTCAATAATACCCTCGGCCTCCCACTCTTTAAACACGTTATCATACTGGTCTACAATACCCAGTTTCTGTAATTTTGCAGTCGTCGATTGTAGACGTTTTCGAGCCAAGTTGTAATTAGTGGGGAGAAACTCAACTTCTTCTTTAAAGGGTAACTTGACTTCATACCGACCATCAAGTTGACGCTTTACGGCATTACGAAAAAAACTCATTACCTCGGAATCCTTTTTGCATCGTTCTTTGACTTCTACATCGTCTCGTATTCCTAGCGTTTCAAGCTTCCATAAGTCTTCAACGTCAAATGTACAATGAAATGTATTTACACTATTTACAGAGCAATATACACCCGCTGTCGGCCCCTGGATAGTCCAACCCAGCTTAGTCTCAGTTGCCAGAAGGTTGCCTTCAATTAGTACTGATCGTCCAGTGAGGAGTGAACCTATAAAATCGGAACCAATAAGTAAACAAATCTCAGTGTCATCGTTACTACAATCAGACAGAAAAATACCTTCGTTTTGCAATCTAGACATAATACAATCATTTTTATTTAACTTGGGTATATACGCACAAATAGTACCTTGTTCTAATACACTCATTTGACATTTATAACTCAAATCTATCTACTCTATATTTCTATATACAGAAATAGAAAACATATTATGAAATTGTCTCTTTGTAACATTACCACCAAACAGATTATGTACAAGTTGCTGACGACCTGTCGCTTTTAACCCTAACTTGCGCACTACATCACTCGTGATAAAAGATCGCTGAGCTCCAGAATCAATTAGCGCTCTGACAGTGACTTCCTTACAACTGTTTATAATCTTAACCTTTAAAGTCTGAAGAAGTACTGAACATTCACTATTTGATAAATTCGCAATATTTACCTTAGAGTCATTGACAGTGTTTACCTCCTTATTAACTTCGTTGCACATAATTGTGTAATGTCTTTTAGTACAAACCACACACTTCGGATGTTTTCTACAAGTTGCTGCTCTGTGACCTACGCATAAACATATAAAGCAAGCCTTTTTGTTCTTCACGTACTCTACTCGCTCGCCTATGGACATATTAACAGCTTTAACGCATTCTGAACTGTTATGCGTGTTGACACCACACCACAGGCATTTGTCGTTTTTCGAATGCTTGATGCTTCCGTCGTTTAACTCCTTCTTACTCGTTGAAGCTGCTAAGCATGCTGCAGAGGGAGTTTTGGCTGATGATGAAATACCATCCGAGCTGTGAGCTAAACTAATCATCTCTTCCGATTCCACCTCCTTCTTTAGGAACTCTAAAAGATTATCGAGATTGTTGTCTTTACCGCTTTGTCTCGACCTATTCCAGGCCCTCAATGTCTCTTGAGAAATGGCTGATTCTACCATTGGAAATAAAAACATATCATAATTTTCTTGCGTTATTCCCAACGTGTCTAGAGCTAAAATCTTTGTCATTAATCGGTCATACAGAACACTTATTGGCGTAAGGCCCCTTGTCTGTACAAGCTTTATGAGCTCTCGAACATAAAATTGTACGATTATATCTTTCCTACCAAATCTCAGCTTCAACTGCTCTAGAGCCTTATCATAATTTTCACCAGTAGGCGGAAATGTACTGACTACGTCTTTAGCTGCTGATCCCGGCTCCATACACTGCAGAAGGTATTGGATTTTATAATCGTTGTGTAAATTCTCATCTTCGTCTATCTTTTTAAACTGTGACCAAAACCCTAGCCAGTTCTCAATCTTTCCATCGAATTTGGGCAGGTCTATTTTGGGCAGTTTGAGCATGATGTTACCAGCAACTGAACAGTCGCAGCTCTTTTCTGAGTTTTTTAAACTATGAGGTGAATTAACAGATATGCTAATAAATTCATTCACCTTACCTTGTAACTTGAAAAAATCAGATTCATACTCATCCGCTGCGTCCGTATCTATTTGTATAGACTCCTCATCTCTATCACCATCCTGGAGCCACATATCCAGTACAGCATTTTGAGTCGCGCAAAGACTTTCATGGCGCAACTTAAGCCTCTCAAACTCTGCTAAAATCGAAACTTTATCACGGGCGGTTTCAGCGAGTAAATTTATTAACTTAGACTTACACATCGTGAATTGTCTTCTTTGAATTTTACGACGGGCTTTCAACATCTCAATTTCCGTAACGGTCGCCATAATGTGAAGGTTCGTACAAGTGAAGCCCGATGATCGTGTTATCTTCAAATAAAAACCGCGAAGATAGGACACAATAAATATATTCTTAAGAAATACAAATTCACACGAATTAAATATTTTACTTATTCACAAAATTAAACCTTGACATGAAGTAACAGAAAAATATCACTATGACAACGAACAGAAAAAAAAGGTATTTCTATTCAAAAAATCTAACCGGCCAGCCACTGCTAATCGCAACCACAACACTCAGGTTGTTGACCTCAATAGCCTGACCCTTTCGTTTCCTCCCTATGTAGGAAACGGAATTCGATTGCGTGTCGTAGTTTGTGATTGTGAATGGTCTGTAATTATCATGGACTGATCGTTAAATAAGGATATAAAAAGCATCTGCCTGCAATACATTAAACTAGGTTACCTACACAACTTTAACGCAGCTGAACGTCGTCGTCGTCATAACTTCAATAATATCCTATTTTGTCTGATGTTGATGGTTTCTTAGGTAACTCAAAATTCACGGTGTTATATGAGCTACTTATTTTTTACACATAACATTACTGTAGACTGGGTGTTTTATCGTTAACTTTGGGGGGTCTAACATTCTTTTTTTTACAAACCATGTAAGTATTTTATCATGTTTAGCCTATTAATGTCCTCACTGCAAGGAGTGGGATACATGCCTTTCATATGGGATTGATTGATTGTACCATGGCATTAAATGACCAACCACGCGAGCCCAATACCGGTTGGTGGGTACTAATGACTGCAGATGCAACTAGGACTAAAGGTTTGCCTTAGTGTTAGATAACAAATTTCGGTCACCCATACTGTGAAACCCCACTGGGAAAGATGCTTAACTTCAACGATCACACCGCTAAAATAAATAAAATGTATTGCAGCACGACTTTTAATAGATCGTCGGCCCTATGCTGATGCATGTTGTTTCTGCTTATCTGAAATGAAATAAATTTCCACAATCTGCAATAAATATCCATTTGATATTATAAATCCATAAAATTACTGCGCTATCTTTAAGTATACTATTGCTTTGAATAAGATACCTAAAGGTAGCGCAGTAATTTTACTGCGCTATGGGACTGAATGCTGTCAATGAAATTCCCATTAAGCTGAAAGTAAGTACAAGTGTTCAAAACATAATTTAAAGTAACATATCAAAAGTCCCAATCGTTCCGGTACATTGAAAAAAGAATACTCGTGGTTAAAAAACGGCTGTATAAATCAGATACATGAATCATTTTTGGGGTATGAACAATAAAGCCATAGGTCTAGAGGTGCACCTTTGAAGTTGCTTGATTTTGCCCGCATGCAAAATTATGACTTCACTTCCGGTTTTTATTTTAGGTGTAATTGTAATTTATCAAATACATCAAGAAAATTTATGTCAAACGAAAGTTTTTGATGAGTAGAATAGAAATGTCTGGGGGCGACAAGCTTTATTTATTCGCTACCCTGAGTCTACCACCATTAAAAATATATTTTTTTAAATTTATCCTAAGCCATTGAATACATGGATTTGTTTACGATTTTCTAAAACTCGAACCCCTCAAATGATTAAAAAAAATTGGTTGACACCTTTTATTTGCCCAGATCTGACTGTCGACTTAGTTTGAAGAATTAAAGAGCGTATGTTTATATATTTCATCTCTATGTATGTTTAATTATCTGCATATCTTGACATTTCTATTCTACTCATTAAAATCTTTCGTTTGACATACATTTTCTTGATGTATTTGATAAATTACAATTACAGCTAAAATAAAAAGCGGAAGTGACGTCATCGACCTCTAGACCTATGGCTTTATTGTTCATACCCCAAAAATAATTCATGTATCTGATCCAAAGGACTTTTATACAGCCGGCTTTCGGACTATTACCATGTACCTTATTACCTTACCTTACCTAGCCTTCTTGTAAGCATTATAGTACCTTGTTTAATTTTAAATAACATAAATTACTATAATTTTTGTGACCATGAAAGTTTAATACGATTTGGGGGGAAAAGTTATTTTAATTTTGTCATGATCTCAATGATCCACGGTGTGAACTCTCACTATTGGAATCACGGATGTTGACCAAACAATATATTGCCTTACTAAATCGCGGACAGCAAACAATCATTAAATGTAAACTTTACCTGAATGGATGAATAATTCAATAAAGAATTAAGACCAATGAACCATGGTTTCCATTTTACCGTAAACATGTTAGCACAGTGTGAAATTTCTTGTGAAATTTTGTAATGACCAAACCGGCTCACTTTTCACATTGTTAGGATTTATGACATAAACAGGTTCCGATGTCCTTCTTGGTAATTGTTAAGATAACATAAAATTGCATTATAGATTTTTTATCTCTTTTCAGGCCAACTGCAATGAGTTTATTCACGAATACCGCACCCAGTGATCCAGTAGATGTTCCATTGAAGAATTCAAATAACAGCAGCAGTAAGTTTCCAGTTTTCTGTATTATATTATTACTAGTTGCCAGCGAAATTCGTACCGCCATAAAAAATAGGGGTTGGTGGTAGACGGGTGAAAATTTAGGGTTGTATGTATTTTTGTATGATGTATCATAAAAAAATAAAAACAAAATATTATGTCCAAAAAAAAAAATTTAAGGACCACCCTTAACATTTATGGGGATGAAAAATAGATGTTGTCCGATTCTCGAGAGACCGATGCCTATTCTTATGAATTAAAAAAAAGAACATTGTCATATTCCTTCGCGCCCCATGATTTCAGAATCTTTTCTAGAGGATTCAATCATGCATGCTGATAGTCTTGTTTACAACTGTTTATAATTTAGGTATTAAAACACTCATGTGAAACTATTATCATATTCTTGTTTTAATACCCCTCATTATGCAGAAGTTCCATACGTAATCAACACCATAGTAACAAAGTAGGTATTTGCGGAATTTTATTTATTTAAACCCTAGCTTCCGTGCGCGGTTAGTATAGTTCTTTAAGAATCCAACCGAAACTAACACATATTTCCGGTTCAAAAAGTATCCTTTGTCTCAATTCAGGTAATAAACTATGTGTGTCAAATTACATCCAAATGCGTTCAGCCCGTGTTCAGCCGCTTTTGCGTGATAGAGCAAACTCATTTATAATATTAGTAGAATGAATTACTATGATTTTTGTTCCTTATGTTTTTATAAAACCGACACAAATTGAAAACATTTGTAGATACATAAGACAGCTGGTACGAGGTTTTCCGTTTGCACTGGACTTACTATACACCTACGTTATTATGTATGCACGTATATAATTATGTCGCATGCAAATTAATCGATGACATCAGTGCCTTTGGCAAATCGGATGGTTCAATGATGCCATGACGAAATAGAAAATTATTAATGCCTTTTATTGTTTTAAACTTTCATGGTCACTAACTTTATGGTAATATAAGTTATTTACGGGATTGTTACCATTTACCTTGTTTTTAGCGAGTTTCCGATATGCAACAGTGCAGAAATATCGGAACCTCGCTAAAAACAAGGTACATGGTAACAATCCCGTAAATAACTTATATTATTAATGCCGTTTTTGCGTAACCATATTCCACGAAAGTAGTTTACAACGGAAAAATGACTAATTTATCCTTAATTACTAATTCGGTATGTTTAGGTACCAACCAAAGCATTAGATCCTATGTTATTAAGGTTAGATCAATGGTGGAAGGAGCTATTTACATAAGTATCTATTTTAAAATACCTTCTTGTAGTTTTTTTATTTTTTTACGTATACGACATTCATTTCATGCAAGTCGGCACAATCTCAGCATGTGTTGTTTTTAGTTGTAATTTTTTGGATGTAACATTCGTTTTATTTGTAAGATTATTTATTAATATTGGCGTTAAGCAAATAATTGTCTCTTGAGAGGCTTCAATCTATTAATTGAAACTCGCTATAAGGCTCAACTCACAATAGCGCAGGGTCGAAGCAACGCAACGTGACGCATCTCGCCTGTAACAAATTCATCTGTATTTACCTAATATTAAGTTATTCCCACTCATACGACGCGCGACTTCTTAATACCACGTTTCAAGTTTTTCGTCTGTAGCGAATTCATCTCTATTTTCCCACTGACGCGAGACACATTTGAAACGTAGGTATTTGAAAATAATATTGATATCACGCATTGGCAAATACCGTACGATAGGGACAACAGTAAAATTGCATATAAAAATTGCAATTTGGCTCTCGACGATTTCCTTATCGAAAATTGGATATATCTTATACATAAAATTCTTGTGTCACAATGTTTGTTACCATGCTTCCCCGAAACGGCTTGACCGATTTTATGAAATTTTATATGCTTGCTTATCCAGTAGGTGTGAGAATCGGCTTCTTTCTATTTTTCATACCTCTTAGTGATAAGGATTGTCCATCCCTAACATTTTTGTCATTTTTTTATAATGTGGCAATAAAAAATACATACAATCCTAAATTTTCACTCTTCTACCGCCAACCCCTAATTTTATGGCGGTACTAATTTCGCTGGGTCAGCTAGTGTAAAATAAATTTTACCCATATAGCCCGGTCAAAATAGACTTTCAAGGTTACATTAATTCGCACAAAGCTGAAAATTGCCATGAATGTTGTTCCCAACATAACTCCAGCTATTTTTATGCTCAAATTTGCCGTTTATCTGAAAAACTGCAAAAAAAAACGACGACGCTTTGACTCTCTCAAAATCTCAAAAATTTGCCCAATAATAAAAGGAAATATCTAGCTATCTCCTAACAGCGATAAATTTATAGTTTGCTGACATCTAGTGGTGTTTTTATGAACTACGTACGATGGCCAAAATAACTTGGAAATGACATAGTTTAGAAACAAGGAACCGAACTACTTAGTTTTGGTAATCCTAGAAAAATCGATATGCGTCGTTATGATAAAGATTGTATAACAATATTCTAATAATGTAATTTGTCGGTTTATTGTAAAGATTCAAGATAAAGGCTGTCTAATTAGTTAAAAACGTGGTTGAGAGCTAACATGTTAGAAGAGCGATTAACAAATTTAGATCTTCTAAACATTCACCCGGAAATAGTACCCGACGTCTCAAATATTATCAAACGATTCGCTAATACAAAAAAAAGACGACTTCCACTTTGTTTTATAAGTAACGTATAAAATAAAATTTCGTCTTGTGCAATAATGTTTATTTTATTCGAGATACCTATTTTTAGGGTTCCGTACCTCAAAAGGAAAAAACGGAACTCCTTATAGGATCACTGTGTTGTCCGTCCGTCCGTCTGTCAAGACTGTTTTTCTCAGGAACGCGTGGAGGTATCAAACTGTAATTCATATCTAATACTCAGGTCTACTGTGCCTTAGAGCTGTGAAAAAATGTAACTTCTAAGCCAAAGCAATCAAAAGATACAGCCGTTTATGCCGCAAATTTTAGAAACTCGCACGGGAATCAAAACCTACAGGGTACTTCCCGTGAACTTAGAATCTTGAAATTTGGTACAAAGTAACTTCTTATAGGACAGATAAAGGAAAAATTGCGAAAACCGTAAATTTTTAGTAACATCATATTATAATAAAAAATATTTTTGAAAATCCAGGTGTGTACGGAATCGTCGGTGCGCGAGTTCGACTCGCACTTGGCCGGTTTTTTTTATTAGTGTAGTGAGTGACCCCCTCCAAAATTTCATGCTGCGACCGCGCCTGCTAAATCGTATAATACATACTAATTTCTAGGATCAAAAGAACCGCTTATTCCAGCGATTTTGTTAGTAGCTTTTGATTCGGAAGCTTTCTAACAAAATCGCTGGAATTCCTTAAAAGAAAAACAAGTAACAAACAAAAATCATAACACTTATATAACTTACTCATTACTTATAATATTACCTCATCCAAGTACAGTAGTAGGTAGTAAAGGTAGTACCTATGTAATACATATTAGGAACATAATAACAAGTACAGTAGAACCCGTTTAATACGATCACGCTTAATACGATTTCTCGCATAATACGCCATTTTGCGTCAGTCCCTACAACTTGAGCCATGTTTTCATACATTTTTTAACGCTTAATACGATTCGTCATCCCGTTTAATACGCCTAAATCGCCAACACGTACCACACATTACCTCTTGCGGCAGCGGTCAGCGATTGACGTGACGGCTGTCGAGCGACGCACGCTAAGCCACCCCCAGGGTTTTCCTGGATATTCTTCCACTGATGACAATGTGGCACCGTAACAAATATAATAAATTGAAGATCTTATTGAGAATGTGAATAACGCACAAGGAGAGGCCTTAAGTGATAACGATCAAGAAGAAAATGAGTCAACTCCGATTTTATTACACGTCGAGGCATTATCAACAGTTAATGATTTAAGATGCTATGTAACTTCTTTGAATCAAAATGACGACGCACTGCAAAAGTTAAACTATGTGAAAATTTTGTAATAGCTAATGCTTCAAAATTTTTTTCACTAAATGATATGTGATTTATTTAAATACAAACGTAATAATAATACACTAATTTTTTTATAGCATACATAATTCTTAAATATTGTACATTTAATTAGTTTTAATTTTGTAAGCATCATTGTTACTAAACATTATGAATGAATAATCTGAAATAAATGTTATTATTATATTATTATTAATACCTCAATACCTACGTTCGAAATTTCTCTAACCCGCAATCCCGCATAATACGCTTTCCCGCTTAAGACGCGTTTTTGGTTGAGTCCCTGTGAAAGCATCTTAAACGGGTTTTACACACTATGAAATATGGCGGTTCGTATTTGATTGCAGTCTTCCAAAAGGGATAGGATACTCGGCCAAGCTTTTGTCAATGACTTCTTCAATTCTTCAGTATTATTTACGACAAATTAAAACCAAAGATTTCAGCATTTCTGACTCTTGGTCACATCAGGTTATTACTGTAATGGTCTATGGTCTTTACTTGGTCATTTGTATTTGCTATTTTTAAACTCGACAACAGTCTGTCCTAATCATGCTTTAGAAGGAATGAAAAGGACAGACTGAAGTAAAATTTACAAATAGCTAACACGAATAGCCAAGTGAAGTGCCGACTACTGCCGACATTATGAGGTATTGAAATATTAGCAGTGTAACTAACAAGAAAAAAATTCTAATTTTTACACTGGTTTAACCAAGAGTCAGAATCTAGGTGCACGGAATTACGCCTCAGCAACCTAATTTCGTTGTCGTATCAATAGATCATAGATTATCATCGTCGGCGCCAACGCAATGGTCGCACACCAAAGAGGGCGACGACCTCAGCCCGGCGGTGCAGTCCCTCACAACGCAGCCGTCGTTCGCCAGCCTTACCTCGCACCGCCCGCGCCTCGACAGCGACGTGGGCGCCTCGCTTAGCGCCGCCGGCAGCCAAATCATCAGTGAGTACTGGATTATTATCGTCGGCGCCGACGCATTGGCCGCGCGCTAGAAAGGGTGATGACCTTAGACCGGCGGTGTAGTCGCTCAAGTCACAACGGAGCCGTCGTTCGCCAGCCTCTCCTCGCACCGCCCGACTGGACAGCGATGTGGGCGCCTAGACAGCCAGATCAGTAAGTACTGTCTCACGCTTATCGTGATGACCAGGGCCGAATTTAAGGCAGGGCAGACCCGACGAAACAAAACTTCCGGTCGGGCAACCAGGTGGACAAACAATACCTTATATAAATACGTCTACTGCCCAAGTTTATTTGTCTGTGGACAACACCTTCAACTGACCATTCCCGATCGAATTGGCAAGTAAGCTCACCAGAGGCCGTACCATGATTACTTATACCGGCACTTCACTTGGGTATTCGTATTCGACATTTACAGTGATATAGTTTAGGTTGAAATAAGTATTCCACTATTGCTTTCTCTTTAGTTACACACTGTATATTGAAAAAAAAAAAAAACTCCGACGCACGACTGGAGTTTACTCCTTTATTCGATAGTCTAACCAGACGCAAAAAGAGTTTATTTAACTTAAAAAAGATTGATACTGTATGAAAGGGTAAATTAACAAATTAATGAAAAATTATATAAATATATATTTATATTCATTTCATATACATTATTATAACTAATCTGACGAAATATTTTACATTAAACTTTTTACAATAGTCAATTTCAGATGTGCATAAATATATCATTAGGAATATTGATAAATTATGTAATTATTATTATCAGACTATTATCATTTTTTTAAATATTAATTTAATCAACATTGTCTGCATTATTAATTACAGTGACAAGTGGTTTATGGTAACTAAAATAAGACACATGGACGTTCGTAGATACGTGGTTCACGAATCTTGAAAATACCGCATCAATAATGGTTGTACCATACCTCGTTGTCCTCATTGCTCTATCAGAAACAATATCTAAATTCAGTTCAGATTTAAAAAAAAATATTAATGTCAATCCGTCATCTTTGTTTGTCAAAGTTGCGCGACATAGGATGCGCACCAAAAACGTAACGAGGTCATTCATCGATAGATTTTACTCCTCACATTTTTCTCATACCGGGCCCCTTATATATGCAAATCGATTCTTAAGGAGTAAACTCGAAAAAGTTAGCGAATAGGCCGGCAGGTCGGATTGGTGGGTGCTAGCGAGTGCAGATGCAGCAGGAATCAACTGCTTTACATGTCTTCTGGTGCACAGAGGAGCTAGAAATAAACATGCGGCCAGTCATTTCGAAAGTTTCATAACTTCCATAATCATAGGACAAGGCCGGATTTAAGGCGGGCTGTGGCTCAGGGGCGCCCCCACTCCTTCGTTGCCTCAGGGCCTCTCCCTCCACACCTCTGAGCCCGTATTACAGAATGACAACTAAGTGTTGATCTTTACTAGAGTACAGTTAGAAAGGGATATCGCTGTGTGCTTTATATAGCGACATCTCTTTCTATGCTCAAGACTAGATCAATCACTGACAATCTTTCTATAATACGGGCCTAAATCTTTGTAGCTACTTAGTAAGTGAATTTAAATAAGCTCAGCTGGTTGGATAGTTTGAATAGGAATAATTTGCAATAACGTATTTTTCCACCTTTAACGTTAAGACTTCATTATTATAACTAAAATTTTGAGTTTCTCACAAGTAGCTGTTAAATTCATCAAAAATGATCATTTAAACATTTTTAGTGGACGAGGTAGATGGCGTTGAGGAGAACGACGATTTCGAACGACTCCGCAGCATCAGAGACCAGCGTCGTCGCGAGAAATACCTTCAAAAACTCATGGCTCGCTCCGTCAGCGCACAGCAGGTACATACATAACTTTGCGTTATGTTTTGCTTGGGTTGGTAAGCAGTAAAAGAAAATATAGTTCAATTCTGAATACACATCTTCTTCAGGTATTATAAACTAAAAAAATATTATATTATATTAAAATTGTATTATTTATTTTTCCAGACCACAGGCAGTACAGAATTAATTGACAACGATTTGTTATTAGAAGAATTATTGATGCAGTCTGGTGCATTAAAGAATAATGATAAACCAAGAGAAGAATCTAAAGAAAACAATACTTGACATAGTAGTTTTATTTTTCAATGGGACTTAAATTGAGTCATTTCAGTATTAGAACAAAATGTGATATGTACTTTTTAATAACTACTTAAACAATGCAAGCTACAATAAAAAAATAAGCTGTAATATGCCGTGTTAGGTATTTTTTACCTACAGCTTGTTTTATTTTATCCTTATGAATGTGTATCAAGAAGCTTATATACAACACTGGAGATTGCAGTGCAAACAATACCTTGAAGTGAAAAATGTGGCCTTGAAAGACGTCACATAATCTTTGTTATTTCTTTCTAAGGGTGACCATGTTGGAATATTCGTTTAGGATACATACTTACTGGTATCGTCTTTAAACAATTTATAAATCAAAGCATTGGAGTTGATAGGAACTTGGGAACACATTATTTAATAGTAATAAAATTCACAAGTACAAATATCATTTTATTCATATTAGATGCATCTTATGCAATGTCAAAAACGTTTATAAAAAAATTAACAAGAATATGCAAACCCTTTTTAAAATCGCCAGAAATGCCTTTTACTAAGAACGGACTAGAAACTCTAAGCTACATATTTTGGCTGATAAATAAAATTGACCTTTTAATGGTATTGTTACGTGTCGGGATGGGGTTTGAAATTATATGCCAGTTCACGATTGACAGTTCTTTATTCACCACACAGTTCACACAATTAACACACAATGTTAATTACAAAACACTCACTAAACACTGTATTTCACTATACAAGTCTCTAAACAATCTCACTTGAACACTTTTGTTGCACTTTGATCGCCTTTGGATTCGTTCCGAAATCGCTGTTGAAACTCAACTGTCTCTGCGCGGCGCCAATCGCCCTTATATACGCCGATCGATGCATTCTAGAAAGTACCTGTTAAATTGAGAATTACCTAGCACCCGCGAGTACGAAATACCTATACCTACGCAAGTAACACGCATAACTTGTAAACAAGTGCAGATATCGTTGCACGTTCTCCTTTACGTCGCACTGCATAAGGCTCATTTTAGAATGAGCCGCCTTACTCGACTTTTATCGCGACCCGCGGTGCTCTGGCAAATTCGATCTCTAGCACATTCGCGGTTCCGTTTCGAGAGCGTTTGTGACAGTATAATGGACAACCAAGAATTTCTTTTAATGACATCTTTCGGGAAGCTGAAACATAAACAAAGGTATAAGACCGCTGCTAGATAGCTGTTATTAAATAGGTTTTCTACATCTAATTAACATGATCTACTACAGTATTTATTATAAACTTATTTTCATATTTTGAACTTTGTAATTAATATTTACAATAATACTTATGTATTTTAACTTTCTCAAAATATCTCAAGTGTAGTGATAATGGTTACCCTACAAAACCAAAATTTATATTATTTTAATTTAATAAACTGCTGAATATTGTACGCAATGTAGTGAATAAAACAAGAATAACGTTAATTTATAGCCTCAGGACACTATGATTTATAAATACTAACGTTTTATTATGATTACAACATAAAAATATAGGAATATGTTTATTTCGGTATTGGCGTAATGTAATAGACTTACCTGTGAAATTTAGTGCTGGAATTTGGTTCCCAAACACTTCTGAAATCTCGCACAACACAATACATATTATAAATAGCAAATTCAACAATTTAACACTTTATAATAATAATCTAAACATTCGAAGCGGTAGATTTTTTTTGACAGATCGGAGATATTCTTCAGTTGATTTTTTAATTAGTGTTGCTATTATACCAAAATGGTAGCAACCAGCAAACAGGGAAATAAAGGGCGAATTTTATATTTAGTTTTAAATATTGATTTCAAAGTAGTTGGTTAGAATTTGTCACACTCATCTTAGTCCAGTCGGAATAGCCATAATTTGGACCGACTTCTATTCTAAGACACCAGCGCTTAGCCAATTTTTTCCTAGGTAGTATAGACCCCCACGAATATGCCCTCCATTTGTCCCCGCTAGAACCCGTGTTTTGTAGCCAGGAAAATTGTTTAAACAGAAAAACCGGTTTTTTGAGTTTTTTTTGCTTGTAAACGGGGATTTTGAAAATTTTTTTGAATCAAAGTTGTTCATTAGCTTGCCCTCTACAAAATCAGTTCTATGAAAAAATAACGTGAGATTGTTAGTTTAGCAGTAAATTATAGTAATATAAGTTATTTACGGGATTGTTACCATGTACTTTGTTTTTAGCGAGTTTCAGATATTTCGGCACTGTTGCAAGCGCCATGATCACGGAGTAACTGAAGTAATTGCGGGTAGGCTGTTATTGGCAGACATATCGGTCTACCCTCCGACGAAGTCTTTTATTGCGACCCGTACCACTGTTCACATTCTCACTATTCACTCGAAACTGTTCTCGACACACAACACTTACAGTATCGGATCGTGACACGACACTTTTTTGATTATTTCCGGTTTTACACATACGAACCACAGGATTCCAGACACTCGACAATTTAAACCCGTCCTCACGATTGAAATTTTTATGTTTTGTTATTTCAATCGCTTCCCTGACCAATCTTGGTATGTAGTGGCGTTCTGTCGAGATAATCTGTGGGTTATGAAACTCAATCCAGTGGTTAGAACCAGAATCAATCAAATGTTCCGCGATGGCTGATTTCTGCGTATCGTTGTTCTTGATTGCTTTTATGTGTTCCCTCATTCGGCATGATACTGTTCGCTTTGTTTGGCCAATGTACGAACTGCCACAGCTGCAATCGATCTTATAGACACCAGGTTTCTCCAAGGGGAAGTTGTCTTTAGGAGACCGTAGGTATTGTGAAACCTTTCGCACAGGAGTGAAGACAGTGTTTAGTGAGTACTTATTCAGTATGTTTGAGATCTTGTCAGTCACTCCTTTGACGTATGGTAAATAAACAGGTTGTCTGTCTACTCTGTGTCTCTGGTGTCTTAGTTTGTGTCTTGATGGAAAATGTCCCTGGTATCCATTACTCTGTAAGACTCGTCGTACATGCTCCAACTCTTCTTGAAGATGTTCCTCATCACACAGGTCATATGCACGGTTCGTCAGTGAAGTCATTACAGAGTTAAGATGTTTAGGGTGGTGATGCGAGGAGGCTTCGTCGGAGGGTAGACCGATATGTCTGCCAATAACAGCCTACCCACAATTACTTCAGTTACTCCGTGATCATGGCGCTTGCAACAGTGCCGAAATATCGGAAACTCGCTAAAAACAAAGTACATGGTAACAATCCCGTAAATAACTTATATTACTATAATTTACTGCTAAACTAACAATCTCACGTTATTTTTTCATAGAACTGATTTTGTAGAGGGCAAGCTAATGAACAACTTTGATTCAAAAAAATTTTCAAAATCCCCGTTTACAAGCAAAAAACTCAAAAAAACCGGTTTTTCTTTGTTTAAACAATTTTCCTGGCTACAAAACACGGGTTCTAGCGGGGACAAATGGAGGGCATATTCGTGGGGGTCTATACTATCTAGGAAAAAATTGGCTAAGCGCTGGTGTCTTAGAATAGGTCTCATGTTTATTCCGACTGGACTATCTTATAATAGTACAAGAGTAGGACTTCTGGAGATTGTAAAACTGATTGATATCTGGCATAGTTCTGTTTATTTTCACTTTCTGATTGGAATTTCTTGTATTTAACATGGTAATTTCAGATAGTGTGTGAGAGAGATAAAAAACATATCATGGGGTTAATGAACTCATCTTCATACAGAAGTTCTACATGTAATCTCCAGTGTTGTATATAAGCTTCTTGATGTGTAACCAAATAAATCTGCACCTTATCCATCATGGAATTACAGAGGTTCAAAATAAGTCCATGACAAGTAGCTCTATTGCAACAACGTAATGAACTTATTCCTTCTGAGATAAAGGAATACTGATTACCAGCTCCGAAAATCTACAACTTTTACAATTTTTATTTAGAAGTGACGTCACAAGCCTCCACTGACTACACACAGTACAAACTTTGCGCGCGCTTTATCTTAATATTTTTTTTGGTTATATTGCCAAAAGATAAAATAAGTAAGTAAGGTAGTGGAACCAATGACCAACAGTAGCCAGTGATTGACAGGCCGGTCGCTAAATATGGTAACACCGAGTGTCTATAGCTCAGTGTTTTGTCAATAAATTAAAAAAATAATAATAGCTCAGTGTTATCATATTTTGTCTTAGAGCATGTACCAATATTTTGTGGTTGGTAGCCAGCTCTTATTTTCTGTGATCACAGAGGGGAATGTGGGTCATTAAGTCTGGTCAATCTAGACATTTAAAGGTACATAAATTTACATCAAGCTGAGAGTAATTAAAAATTTTCAAAACATAATAGTCCGGTCAAATTAGACAGAAAAATAAGAGTGAAGGTGCGTGGTGCGAATTCACATCAAGCTGAAAGCGAATACAATTGTTCAAAACATAATTAAAAATAACATAGTGGCAGTCCAATAATCACGTGAGGCTCGAAAGGGGGGGGGGGGGCATAAAAAATCGTAGTCGTAAGTAGTCTTAAACCTCACCTTGTATCACCAAAATGGGGGGGGCCTTGGTTAAAAAAGTTAAAAATACCAAAAAAATATCACGTGATTAATGGACGGCCCGAAGCTATGAAAAAAATCAAACTTCTAAACCAAACCAATCAAAAGATACAGACGTTTATGCCGCAAATTTTCGAAACTCGCACGGGAATCAAAACCTATACAGGGTATTTCCCGTAAACTTAGAATCTTGAAATTTGGTATGAAGTAACGTCTTATCACTACATAGTATAAAGCAAAGTCGCTTTCCGCTGTCTGTCTGTCCCTATGTATGCTTAGATCTAAACTACGCAACGGATTTTGATGCGACTTTTTTAATAGATGCAAGAGGAGGTTTATATGTATAATGCTCTCGCTCGCATTTCATGGCGCAAACATGTATAGCACGCAGGAGAAAAGTTTCGAAACTTTTTTTCATAACAATACAAATGCTTTTGAATCCATATTTGGTTGTATCCTTCTTCATTTCTGCTTTTAAAGATAGGGTCGATTGGTTCTCAATATAACAAGAGCAGCTCGTCATCCTCCTCTTCTTCTTCAAGAATGTCAATTATCACTTCGACCATAATTTTGACTTCGGTAGACACGCGTCTAGAGGGATATGCCGAACAACACCGACTAACTTTGAGACACGGCCGCGCGCGTCTGTCTCTGGCCTCGGAAGCGGTGCCATACATTTTCATACTATGACTATTGACACGAGCGACCGACGACAGTCGTAGGCCGCGATCGATCGCGATGCACGGAATTGTACCTTAAGTGTCGCCGCACACGGGCCACCGACCACAACCACAAAACGCCGCCACCGGCATATTTCTTGTAGTTTTCATACATTTTATATGGACTCGCCACACACGTTATGCCGGTGGCCGCCACACGCTACAAAACGTCGTTGCTCGCTTCTTGTGGCCCGCACCGGCCACATAATGCGCACCCCTCTCTCCCTTACCTTAGTCGGCCGCTGTAGCGCGCTTCAGCCACTTTAGTAGCCGCTTCTAGCTTCTCGTGGCGGCGGCGTTTGTGGCTATGGCGTGTGGCCCGTGTGCGGCGACACTAAGAAAGCTTATTATAAAGTGTCTGATTATATTAGACAAAAATGCTTGGGTTTGAACTCTTCCAACCATTCCAACGGGTATTTCTATATGATGTATATTATATATGAATCATGTGTTGACAATACTGTAATTAGATTTAAAAGCTGTGTTTAAAGTTGATTACTTAAGGAACAATATCAGATTATTTGACAAAACGGCGTGGTGGCGATTTCTCAATTGCTTTTGTAATTGTTTGCGGTGTCCTACAGATAAATTACCTTAATTTTAAGCACCCTTCGCTATCTGGGCGAATGCACTGACCATTATGCTACCGTGGAACTGATGAATTCTTTCTAGCCTTTCTTAAGCTGCAAGGTAGCACCATCTCTTCACATTGTAAGTAACCCACAATTAATTTAAACATCGAGCAGTTATATCCTTAAAAAATATTTTTTTTAAATCTATGTCGTAGTTAGTTTATGTGGTTATGGATAGTCATGCTCTCTAAGTATCTTCGGGGTGTCGTGTGTGTGAGGCGGATCGTTACGTTCCCTAAAATATGGTTGAGCGAAGCGACGGCTGGTTTATACGTCATGCTAATGAACGGGTGCTGCCAGCGGATATGAGTGCCCTAGCTAATTTTTGTATTTATACTGTATGACACAGCAATCAAAATGTATATTTGATCATTATGTAATGAAAGGTGACTTCATTAATCATTTTTGAAGAATTTTTTCAATTTGACGACTGTAAATAATATAACATGTAGAAAAAACAGCCCATGCTGAGTTTCTTGCCGGTTATTCTCAGTACAAGGTCTCCCGCCGTAGATTTACGAACCGTTGCGATGGCGTAGCTTCTAGATATTCACGAGTGCTTGTTACAACTGAATAAATGATTATGATTTCATCAAAACAGTAAGTTATATCGTTAAATTGGACATAAAAATATCTATAAAAAAGAAAGTAATATTTTTTCCTCAGAGCCACCGTTCCTGAGGTATAAAATTTGATATTGCATAAATACGTAACGAATATACATTTCTGTAGCTGTAATATTAGTAAAAATAATTTTGTACCGGTGATTGTAACTTACATTAAAAATATACATAGGTATAACTAGGAGAATAATGTTCTGAAGCTTTTAAAAAAAGTAATTCAAGTCAAAACTATCACCAACGGAATTCGCTTTCTTCTTTTTGTGTGGGAAGCTCCTAAAAAACTACCAGCTTCGACAAGTATCGATATGCATGTTTTGTCAAAAACATTCAAAAATAAAAAAAAACAAGTGCAACCTCAGATGCTATAGGTCCCGTTAAGTAAAATGTCCGCTGGCTTTATACCTGCGCTCAGGGCGATATTACATCTCGACTGTGATTTTTGCGTAAATTGGCGTTCTTAATCTCAGAAACAAATATACATTAACAATTTTGATCTATTGAATAGTGCAGAATAACTATTGGCCTAGTTCGTAGCGGCCTCGCTTTTTTAAAATTTTGCTTATTTTTTTAATTAAACCCAAAATTGCAGAGAAAGATTTTCATAAAATGCGCGAAGGCACTTTTTTGAGCTCCTGGGGCCCAATTCTCGCGGCATAGATATTATATCACCTTCGATATATATCGAATGATCTGGCTTTTATCGAAGGAAAACCTTTTTGCCCTATTCTCACCATGTCGCAATAGATATTTATCTACGGATGATCAGTAGACATACATCGACTGGTAAAGAGCCTTCGATATATAAATATCTATGGATCTTGGCATGTCAATCTTGTTATTTCCACTTTTTTTACCTAATATTTATTGTGTTGTCGTGTGTCTTTGCCAATTATTGTTACCTCAAGATGTTGTTAACTGCCTTCATAAATAATTAGTAAATAAAGAAGAAGGTAAACAATGGTGTCGATTCTGGCGTGATTCTCTAAACTTAAAACTAAATTTAACATCAGTCTCTCTTTTTCATTCTGTATAGAGAATGACAAGGAACACTGTTGTCAAGTTTAAGTTTAGATTTAGAGAATCGTGCCAGAATCGACACCAGTTTATATTAACGATGGATGAGTTGATTCATGTTTTCGTCAATGATTTAATAAATGACGTGATTGCTGCTGCTGTGCTCAGGCGCCGCCGTTGTGAGAGCAAGAGGGCCCATTTGAAATGAGGGACGCCGACTTTATAAAAAAAATACGTTTAAACAAAAATTTGGTTAGAAATCTATAAAGTTATGAATGACATTGGTATCGATCCTGACACTGATTCTCTAAACTTAAAACTAAATTTAACATCAGTCTCTCCTTTTCATTCTGTATGGAGAAAGACAAGGATACACTGTTGTCAAATTTACGTTTAGGTTTAGAGAATCATGCCAGAATCAACACCATTTTCTTATTGACGATACGAAGTTTTTGGCGGGATTTCTGCGAGTGCGGATGGCATCTTATTTTAATTATTCTAAAATTCGTTCATAGTGGATATTATGAAATTTGGTGTTACAACCGTCTGCGCAACTGAAGAATTAGTGGAATCTTTAAAATATACGCTATTACGGTCAAGTGGACGCGAGAACTTATTGTAGTGTTAACTAACTCACAGAAGCTTATCGAAAAAACCAACTCGATACATTTCGTGTCAAACACTCCAAGAAACATTAGAATGCGTCACACCGACATTCTAATGTAAAAAAAGAAGATTAATATAACTAATGACTGGGCTGTATGGACATTGTTCCCTTTGCCTTCCCTGAAAAAGGAGAATCTTAAATAATATTGACGTTTCATTATACATAACGTTGAAATTTTAAACGCATACAATTTAGGTAAAGTTGAGATTTCATATACTCAAAAAATGTATACTCATATTTAATATGAATGGAATTCATAAAATATAAAATAACATTTTGTTGCTTGTAAAATTCTGCTCTAATTTATTATTATTTTATATAGACTACGATGTTAACTTAATCGAGAAAAACGGAACGCACTCGTCAGTGAAAGAATATCTACGATAGATATAATATCATTGGAATATCGAAAATCCACGAGAATAGCATTTTTAACCATCAGTAGATATTTTCAATAGATATCCCTACTTTCGATATTATCTCGAAGCCGATATAATATCTACGCCGCGAGAATTGGGGCCCTGGGGCCCAATTCTCGCGGCATAGATATTATATCACCTTCGATATATATCGAATGATCTGGCTTTTATCGAAGGAAAACTAGATATTTATCTACGGATGATCAGTAGACATACATCGACAGGTAAAGAGCCTTCGATATATAAATATCTATGGATCTTGACATGTCAATCTTGTTATTTCAACTTTTTTTACCTATTATTTATTGTGTTGTCGTGTGTCATTGCCAATTATTGTTACCTCAAAATGTTGTTAACTGCCTTCATAAATAATTAGTAAATAAAGAAATCAATGGTGTCGATTCTGGCGTGATTCTCTAAACTTAAAACTAAATTTAACATCAGTCTCTCTTTTTCATTCTGTATAGAGAATGACAAAGAAACACTGTTGTCAAGTTTAAGTTTAGATTTAGAGAAACGTGCCAGAATCGACACCAGTTTATATTAACGATGGATGAGTTGATTCATGTTTTCGTCAATGATTTAATAAATGACGTGAAAACTTCCCTGAAAAGGGAGAATTTTAAATAATATTGACGTTTCATTATACATAACGTTGAAATTTTAAACGCATACAATTTAGGTAAAGTTGAGATTTCTTATACTCAAAAAATGTATACTCATATTTAATATGAATGGAATTCATAAAATATAAAATATCATTTTGTTGCTTGTAAAATTCTGCTCTAATATATTATTATTTTATATAGACTATGATATTAACTTAATCGAGAAAAACGGAACGCTTTCGGCAGTGAAAGAATATCTACGATAGATATAATATCATTGGAATATCGAAAATCCACGAGAATAGCATTTTTTACCATCAGTAGATATTTTCAATAGATATCCCTACTTTCGATATTATCTCGAAGCCGATATAATATCTACGCCGCGAGAATTGGGTCCTGTATTGAACTATTGTTCTAAGAAAATTAAATAAAAAAATGAGAATGGTTATCTCCTCTATAGTCATATAGTTCGTAGCGGCCTTAGAATTTTGAAATATCTTTGATTTAATATAGAAAAAAACTTATTCTAAACCTTAAATCTTCGAAAATCGCTTAAAGTTAATTGCGATTTAATTCTATTCACGATAATATTAATAAGCAAAATTTATACCAGAACAATTGTTACTTCATGAGGAATAAAGATTTTATAATTTTAAAGCATGAATTTATTCACTTATTTCGATCAATACGATAAATACAACTGCAAAATTACTACAAAATGCAATGCACCGGTCATCCGAACTATAATGTACTATATGCCACGGTAATAATATCGTATATCGATAATATTACCGTGTCTATGCTCAGTACTGCGCGAGCGCTCCTCAGCGTCGGATTTATGTCTATATTTTTTACAATTTTTCGCGCCATGATCGATCGAGCGTCAGAGTATAGTGCGACCAACAAGTTTTGATCAGGTAAGTATAATACTTTTAAGTGTTTGTTTTATATGGAATCTACATAGCATTGTGTTCAATGAGGGCTACCGTTTTCTGTCTCACCAGATGGCGCCACTGTTGAGTGAGGTCCTGAATTGAAATCTTTTAAAGTTTATTAATACGCACGTGAAATCAAATTTTACATTTAAATCATATTTTAATACAAAAGAACCGTATCCTTAACATAATCGGCCATGCCACAGTGATGCGCAGTTTCGTTTTGTTCGGAAAAACGGAGGACATACTAATTTTTCTTAGCTCCGCTTTTAAATAACTGACATTCGTTGCCACGTAACTCATATTTGCCATAATTATGCCGAGGTATTACCAAATATTCACAACATTAATTAGAAATAAACCCGCGTAGTCAACCCACAAGCAATAACATTTGACAGTTCGGAGACCTCACGCTACACTAGCGCCTCTAGCGGCGGATTCATACGCGATAGCCCTCATTATTCTTTTAATATTAATATTTATTTTATTATTTTCAGCATGGGTCCAAAAACCCCTAGGTGTAGTTGTGTAAGAAAGTTAAGATATACATCTACATTAAGAAATGCAAATAAAGCAAGGTACTTCTTTCCTTAATGTACCATACCATACATATATAATATTAACATATTTTGTAATAAAACTGTAAACGGGCCAATTTTGCATTTTTTTAATTGTCTTCTTAAACGCAAAAACTACTAAACAGATTTTGATGAAATTTTCTTATTTTTTGTATTGCTATTCATCCTCTGTAATACATATTATTTTGAAGATAGGAATACCTAATTTGGAACCATAGCAGCCCAGCCAAACTGTAAGAGATACAAATAAAGATACAATGAGTATTTTGTAATGCCCTAAAAATCGAAGGTCTGGTGCACCTAATATGAAACTCTATCAACCCTGCTAAAGTATAAGAAATGCAAAAAGCTTGCGCGAATGAAGTCGCGGGCACTGCTTGCTTAATATCATTCTCATTTAACTATTCAGCACTAATCATTTATAATGTCACTGTTTCAGAATGAATAACTTCTCTGCCAAGAAAACATTATGATTTCCGATGGATAAAGAAAATATCCCGACATTATCACTACTGTATTATTGTAATGATAATTAATTTAATTAATTATTTTTTGTCACAGCAATCAAATGTAGGTAAACAATTACATATTATTTTTCTATTAAAAATGTAATAGTGTATAGGTAATCACATGCATATGTCTTGCAGTTGTGTTTTTTGTTATAATGTACACAGGTACTTATTATTATTATTTATTCTATTTGCAATCTAGTATCCATATGTAATTAGGAGTAGTCATGCTCTCTTAAAAGTCTCTTCGGCGGTGTCGTGTGAGGCGGATCGTTACGTTCCCTAAAACATGGTTGAGCGAAGCGATGGCTGGTTCATGGGTCATGCTGGTTAACGGGTGCTGCCAGCGGAGATGGGTCTGCTCTTGCTACATTAAATACTATTTATCGTTATATTAATATTTATATCGCTAGAAGAACTAGAACAACTGACATAGCTCAATGGATCGCCAAGCTGAAGTGGCTATGGGCGGGACACACAGCTCGGCGAACCGATGAATGTGGGGGTCCCAAGGAGCTTCAATGGCGACCTCGAACCGGGAAGCGCAGTGTCGGTAGACCCCTCACGAGGTGGACTGACGACATCAAGCGAGTCAAGGGGACCTACTGGATGCGGAGAATGCAGGATCGTTCCATATGGAAATCCCTTGAGGAGGCCTATGTCCAGCAGTGGACGTCCGTCGGCTGATAATGATATCGTTATATTTAATTGTAATCGTACTTTTTTATTATGTCTTAAGTGTAGAACACGGCGTTCCTAAAGTTTGTGTTAAATAAGTATTTTTAAAGTGTTGGTATTTTTTTATATATTTTATTTGTGTTTGTAACGGAAAATTACTTCATGAATTATCTCATTACGAAGTCATTTTTCAATTTGACGGCTTTGTATATAATGGCAGGGAGAAAAAGAGCCCTTGCTGAGTTTCTTGCCGGTTCTTCTCAGTACAAGGTCTCCCGCCGTAGATTTGCGAACCGCTGGCATAGTATTTCGTCGTTCACAAATGCTTGTAACAGCCTGGACTGAATAAATTATATTGAGCTAGAGTTTGATTCGTAACAAGAAAAACGTTTTATTTTTGAGGAAGAACATTTCTGACATCTGTGAGTTACTCGTAACAGGGTATTCCTATTGGCCACCTCATAGCAGGCTACCGCGATGGCTAAGAGTAATATACCGTTTTGATATGACTAACAAATGTCAAGAACGCATTCTCTCAGCGGGCAGGTAATAATATGATGAATCTGAAATAAGCTCATAACTGTTGCTTTTTCACACCAAAACTATTAGATCGATTTGATTGAAATTTGGCAAATAGGTTCTGACTTAGGGTGTTTTATACTGTCATGTAAATAATCAAACATAATAATAATATATAGATAATAATATATATATCTAATCTTTAATTTTAATCTAAAACGAAAAACGTAAAAATATAAATTTTGTTTTGAACAAATATCATCTGTCTTATTAATAGTATCATATTCATGTAATCTGTTTATTCGCATATGAGAACCATGGCACTCTAAAAATGTGCGGGTATAGCGATAACAAATTACTACATAGAAATACTAAAAAATACACAAAACTTGGAAAAAAGTATCAAAATCGCTTGGTCGTAGGTTCAACACTCAACACATTATTGTAAACTCGTGACCTTCAATGAGTTGTCGAGAACGCTTCAAATGTCCATTCTCGCAGAGTGCAGATTTGTAATAGGGCTCTTTGTTACTCCACAAAAATTCTATGGACGTAATATCAAAGGCAAATCCTGTGAAGCATGCAAGGTCAGACAAAATCGTGTGTTGTACACTACCTACACTCACACTAATGCACCAGTTCGGACAATTCGCTGCCATTTGACTTTTTGACCTCTATTTGCTACATATATAGTGATCTGTGCATTTGACCCCGCCTGACAGCGCCAGTCACACGTTCAATTGCTCCGATATTTTTTTAAAAAAGCCGATTGTGTGGTGAAGCCTTGTAAAAACGTAAAAACTACACGAGTAAATTTGAAAAGTTACAAGGAATCACCTACCATGCTCAAGTATTGACGATTCTTGATAATTATTCTATATAATATTTTATTTACAAGGATGAAAATTGTAAATAAAAATACAACTGTGTGGCTACTTTCTTTACGGGAAATTTTCCCTACAATATGTAATTTTGTATTACTTGCATTTGTGACTAGGCAAGATCAGATTTCGTAACTTTTTAGGTTTCCGTATCCCAAAAGGAAAAGAATAGAAGCCATATTTTTCATAGAATATTTTATATAAATTATTGTCTTGTCTCCTTTCTAATAGGTTTCCTACAAATAGAAACCGTAGAGATAGATGACTGGGTTTTAATTATTCGATACTGCAAAGGGGATAACAATTGGAACCCATCACCTTCCAATACTGTGTGCAGTGCACACGTTGTTTGGTTTTCGTTCAAACCGGAGCCTGTAAAGAATTCGAAACGGCGGAAAATGTATAAAAATATTAAAAATACAGTTGAAACCCGTTAATAGAACTACTATACAAATAAACATTTGAAACTAAATAACGACAACCAAAATTATTACAAAATTAATTACAGGCAGGACTTGAACCTGCATTTTCTGCTGTCTGGGTGGATGCACTAATTGCTATGCTACCGAGACCTTAATGATCGTGACGAATTTTTTCTTTTATTAACGGTAGTGCCATTTCTTCGCTTGTAGGTAAACCACAATGTCAAATGAAACCACAGATATAGGATGTAAAGATAGACAGAGTAACTATCGCTACTGTTCCAAAAAATATCTG